TTTGACCCCAGTACTCTTTCCTGCCATGGCAGGGGGTCGGACCTGATGACCTGCTCAGGTCCCTTCCGACCCTACTAACTATGAAACTATGAATGTCCCTAAGAAAAATAAAAACGAACATCCAAATTAAAATCTTAAATGACAAAAATCTTCTGATATTAATTCTATAATTATTTCTAAAAGTCCAAAAAAAGCCCAATTCTGTATATGCTACCCATTTGTTGTAAGTCAAATTTAAAAGTCGTTTCTGTATTATGAAATATGAAACATCATACACCAACTAGCCAGAGTTACATCAGTGCAAGCTCATTACCTTAATAATATAAAGTCTATGGGTTGATTTTTTTTCCACCACTGATACTTTGCCCAGTTACAATATGCATACAGCTGCATATATTTTGAAGTTAACTTTTTGGCTTAGATGCTACTTTGGCTCATTTCAACCACTGTAATAGCCAAAATGATCACCTCCGAGGGCCAAAAGAAAGGCAAGTGTGGGACTCCGATGACGACGAGGAAGCAGGGGTCAGTAATGCTATTCACCTTGCTCCCTTCAACTTCACAGTACCAAGCTGCACCATTCCCCCTGTGGTAGAGTCCTGGACACATTAACCATGACATTTTTCCCTTTAAACCTACATTTTTTTTCCGGCACAAGGTAATGACAACCCTTTTCCCCTTTTCAGCATTCTGTGAAGTAGTTCCCATATCAGAACAGCAGTCACCGAGATAGCTGAAGGCAGATGAGGCTGAGTAGCCATGTTCAGAAAAGGAGAGGCTCTCCAAGAAATTAAGACCGCATAACCTAGCCAAGCTTGTTTGAACAAGATGGCTAAGACTAAAACTGACAGAGTACGATTGCTTCAAATTCATTTCTAGACAGCTAACTGCCATGCCTAGCTGTTCAAAACAGTGCATGTAAAAGACAATTTATAATGTAAAGTACGATAAGTATTAGGCATTATTTAAAACATCACTGGCTTGTTGATCGTGCAGGTTTACTACTCTGTATTTCCTCATGTCCAAATGAAAATAAGCCCTTGGTCGCAGATAGCTATATATATGTATATCGATCAGATATAGATATAGTTGTCTGAGTTATACAACATACAAGTACTGTATACTATATATAAAACATGCATATATAAATATTATATCATGATAATATGCCTTCTAATATCAGATAACTGCATGTGTATGTATGTATGTATGTGCAGACTACCAATATGCTTAGAAACTTTTAAACTGTTGACTTGTTTGAGATCTGTATATCCCACTTTGCCTTTGGGCTTTCAAGCTGACAACGTAACAGTTTCCAAGCATACTGGTAGTGTTGGAGGGTGTGGCTCTGTTTAATCAACTGACAGGTTGTGCAGCATTTCAGAGGAAGGAAAAAGCCTTGGAAATTATTTTACTTCCTGCACCAATGTTGAAAAGCTTTGTTTTATGTGTACATTTGTTGCTCTGGAAATCCAAAAAGATCAAACAAAGGCAATCATGGGACCCAGCCATTTGTTAGCTCTGCTGATTACATCACCATCCGGAATCTATATTTAAGTTGCAGACTTCAGTCACAGATGTAGGGGCTGCACGTCGAAGGGCTTGCCAGAGGCTACTTACTCTCACCTGGAACTGAAATAAACTAATAAGGTATGGATGATCATCCCTGGGGTAAAACTGACTAGAGTATATCCAGTATGTAATTCATTGTTCGGATGTTAAACTGGTGTCTAATAAACTGTGACAGAGTATTTTTATCTTGGAGAAAAGTACAAGGTAAACATTTTTACAGTACTGGACGCCTCATTTCTTGGTAGAATGAAGTGGAATACTGCATGTTTAGTGCAAGAAAATAAAACAAGCCATACTGGTGACGAGGATGAAAATGATGGTACTTAAGTTTGAGATATGTGCTTCGATTCAACTGAGGAATAATTTTATAGCTAAAGCTATTTACTAAAGCTAAGTTTTTATTTTTTTTGTAATTGTACACTTAATAAATAAAACCTCATGAATACCATCTCAGACTAGAGGATGCCAGGGTTACCTGACAGTACAATGTCTAACTGTGAACTGTCCAATACAGACTGAAGATGCTGCTGAAGCTGGGCTGTGTCATCGTGGTTCTTGTGTTCTTAAATGAGGTGCATCTAGTCACTCCACAAACTGATACTGAAACACCAACCACAACCACCACCACCACGGCTGGATCTGGTATCACAAAAGCTGCAAACACGAAACCTTTTGGAAGATCTGAACAAAACAGCAGCGCTGGATACAGTACCACAAAAACGACCAATACAGGCACAGTGCAGCATGGAAGCGCAATGGCTATCGTCTTACCTTTGCTTACTGTCACATCTTTGACCATGTTCATCCCTTGGTTGTGAATGCTCCTATTTTATAAGATTTTTTGTGCTTGTATATTTATACTAATTCAAATTTGAACAAACTAAGAACATGCTCTTATGGTCATGTGAGTTTGACAGCATAATAGTGGCACTATAAGTTAAGGCTGCTTAATTAATAACGAGGTTTGAATGACTAGCTTCAGTTTGGAAGGTTGGCACTTTTCCCAAAAGGCAATCAAGGCGTCTAAGTATGTTATTTTAAAAGTGAAGGAAAAAAAAATCTATTTTTCTACGTAAAATGAGAAATGTGGAAACAGAACTAATACTCCGAAATATATTATAAATATATGTAACTATGCAAATTAATCCTATTATACTTGTTTCCACCAAACTACATTTCCTGTAGTAAGAAAACAGTGGTATCCTCCTACAGAAGCCAAATAGTAACAAATGTGACTACAGTTCCTTGATACCTTTTCTAATGTAATGTGATCAATGTGCACAAAGCTAACAGCGGTCAACAGTATCAATCCTGATAACTGCAAAAAGGAGCTATGTTCTCTTTGCTGAGATTTCTCACCATCCTTTCCACAGACACTGATGCCTCAAGATCTGATGTGTGTTTATTGTAATTTCACCCTGTGATTTTTGGGGGCCTGCAGTTTTGTTCTACTTGAATTTTTTCCAAGGTTTGGTTCAAAATGTAATCCTTTGTCAATAAAACTGCTCAATTCTTATATGACATGTTAAACTAGAACCATTTTAATAAAACTAAATTCATGCAGAATGTATGCCTGCATGTGTTTTTGTCACTCTCTCTATAATCTGAAAAGACAACGAATCCCATGAATCCTTCAACACACGTGCAACAAAACCCAGCTATTTTAATTAATTGTTACAGAACAATTCAGAGAAAGACCAAAGCTTTAAAATGTAGGTGTTTTTGAGAAAATTGTTACTGCATGCCTCAATTTGTATTTTATTACCAACATCCCAAAAATTTCAGAAAAGGAGATTATGAAGGTATTGATATAGGCAAAGTGAGGTAGATTTAATGGTCTTTAAAATTTTGCTAAGTAAAATATAACTTTCTACCGTATACTTTCAATATATTACACAAGCATTTAGATATTATGGGGTAGGTACCTATGGACGAATGTCAGTTGAGATAGCTCTCTTAGCTAGGAAAAATGTAGGGATTCATGACTATATTGTCACCCCAAACTGGAAAGAGAAAGGTTTGACCTGAGAAGCTAACATCTCTCTTGTACACGCACCTTCTGCTTTGAGTTTTAAAATGTCCATTACTGAACAAGGTAGAAAGTAACGTTTTCTTACCGCCGAGCAATATAGTAGAAAACAGGATTGCCAGCTTTTGATGTCCCAGCTTGGTAGAAGATATTTAATGTTTTCAGGGCCTTGAACTCTTCTTTTTCATGCACTTGGTGCCTAAAAATTAGCAGAATGATTACAAAACATCATGCTTTTAAAGCCAGATAGGCAAAACATCTTCAGATTAGTATTCTGAAGAAGTGCCTACATTTTTAAAAAAAATACTGATAACCAATTTTTGAAAGCCCAGCCATTTCTCCAAGTTTTTTATTTAACCTTTGACCTCATTGTTGTGGGGGGAAAAACCATACATTAGGAAGCCCTGGTTCTTTTCTATCCAAAAACAGGAAAGGTATTTGCAGAAACAGTGTCTTTATTTTAGTATTATTTTTCTTACAAAAAGACCTCTTTTCAGCAAACAACTACCTAGGCACAAATGACTACCTACTGAAGGTCTAAACAGTCAAACAATTTTAGGTAATTTGAAGCAGCTCCATTACCTGGTCATAAATTCTTCAAATTTGGAACTGGTGAGATTTAGACTGGACCAGTGCGTGTCTGCCACAGGCTTATGCTCAGGTGGGCCCAAGTAGGCAAGGAGAGTAGCCATTTTGTCAAATGGTCGTCTTCCAACAGCTTTGTGGTCCCTAGAAACAGTAAATTACTTAAGAAACACACTCCTAACCACCACTCAGCACACCTTTGGCTTTTTAGCCATTAGCTTTCCTTACCTTGAATAACCCAGTTGCTCACTTCAACTATTACTTTTAGGTACACGAAGAATGAATTTTATTTGCAGTGTTCACTTAGTCAATATGAAATTGTTCATATAAAAATTAACATGTACAGGACTCAAGATGAATGACAGACATCTAAAAAAAGGTAGCAGCAAGAATTGCAGCACAGAGTTACAGATAATCCACACTATACAATTTTTTTTTTTTATTAATAATCCAAAATAGTTCATAGGGGGAGCATATTTTGAACCTTAATGCTGTTTTCATGGGGCACATCTAACGCATACAATTACTGTGCACGAATAAACTGAGACACACATTGCTTCGCAGTTAATTACTCCCAAGCGCACTGTTTGAATGTGCACCCGAGAGTAATAAACTCCAGATCAATAAGCTCTGCAGTTTATTCATGCACAGCACACTGAACCAGGGTGGAACAGTACTGGAGCAGTACTGGCTGGCAGGAGGCTCACGGGGTCAGCCTGCCAGCCCAGGGCTGCTTCCCCCCAGCTCAATATGCTGTGAAGGAGCTGGCTGGCTAAGGCATGATGGTGCCTGAGCGCAAGGCTAGCTGGCAGGCAGCCATGACACTGAAGCACACTCATGCCCCAGCCAGCCCCCTCCAGCATCTACACATGCACTGCTGCAGTTTTGTTTACTTCACAGCAGGACAGTACTTGTATTTACAAGTACTGTCCTGCTGCGGAGTACATTAGTTTACTCCAGCCTAATAGAGGTGTAGATGCCAAGATGTTTACTGAGCAGCTAATTAGTTGACTGCGCAGTAAACCCCTCGTGTAGATATGCCCACTAACAGCCAATTAATGTAAGGCAAACCATGCAAAATAATTGATTTGTCACATCAATAATTCCCTCCTAAGTAGTATTCACGTGTCCTACCTGTTGCTGGAAAGATACTGGCCAATTTTCTCTTGATTGTTCCAGAGCAAACGATGCAAAGCAAGTACATTGCCATCACTGATAAAAGAGAGGCTGTGATTGACAGTGTCACTAGCAGGACAATCAGATGCAATATCAAGGAAAAACCTAAAGAAGAGAGAAAATGAATCGCACACATTATTAGGGAAAAAATCCCACGTGGTCAGACTCACTTTAAGACAAAGGGCCATGAGAAAATGTGGGGGTTTTTTGCTGTCCTTGCTTTCCATACTTTTACACAACAGTGGTAGCAAATATCCAGTTAAGTTGACAGTAGGCTTACCGCCGTGCTGCATCAAAGTTGCTTTTTACAAAATCATTAAAAGGCCGCATGTGTTCTTCTTTTGTAAACAAGACATGGTTGGCAATACTTTGAAGTATCTAAAAAAAACAAAAATAAAAAAACCCTGTTAACGGGCATATGTAGGTTTAATACTAGCAGTAACGTTAATGTAAATCTCACTCCTCCCTATAGCAAATCCCTTCACTTCAGTTTCCCTGTAAATCATCAGGACAAAAGAAACCTCTCGAATGACCCAGTTTTACTAATTCAGTAAAACAATACCCCACCCTTGCCAAATCAGTAGATATTTATTATTGGGAATGGCATGTTCACACACCAAACTCTGAATACTAGCAAAACTAAGTTAATTAATATTCACTAAGTGAGTTACAATTAAGGGAACAGTCCTTCAACTGCAAACTTCATTAAAGTCTTACAGCCTGACTGGGTTTTAACAAGCTAAGTAAATTATGCAGGTATTTGAAGGGTATGGCAATGTACAGATATTGAAAAAGCACTTAAACGCTGTCTGTGCAAACTGCTGAATTCTATGGCAAATGTAGATTATTAAAATTCAAAGACTTAACGAAGCTTCGAAAACCCTTTTAAGTGAAGAACTGAAATGATCAGGAACAAAGTAGTAATGTGTTTTAGACAGCAGTTGTCAATGGCTTCTGCTTTAATGTTGCATGCCTTAAGTCCTGTGATACTAACATTTTCAAACTGTGTTGTTCTACAAAAATTCTGCATTTGTTCTAATTGGGCAAGCAAATCTAATATGGACACAATCCTTTGCAAAAATGAGGAACTGAAGTGGGAGACCAAAAAGCATACTGTGCTTCTACTTCCAAATACTGGGCAACATCAAAAGGTTTGGTTTTGATACCAATCTTCCCCAGAACTAGATTACAAAGCCAGAGTATTAGAGTTATGCTGTGGGCAAAGGGTGGAACTGGCAATTTAAGTTAGCTGCGAAATGAAGAGAACATGTATGTACTTAAACAATGAAGTCCTCACAAGCTCCCTCAGCACTGTATAAATAGTAAAACGAAACAAAGTCAAATTAAAGAAAACTAAACAACATAGTGAGGCCAAATAAAAATTTGAAGTCTCAAACTCAATACTTCACCTTTGACATTAGCTTCAATCCTCTTTCAATTCTTGGTGGAGGTTTTTTATCTAAAATCCCTGCCTCATAAGGAGAAACAATCGCAGGATTGATAAACCGTAGGAACATGGCACTTCCGACCGCTCCAATACTGTTCTGAGGAAATCGCTGGCTTACAACCTAAGTAGTAAAGTTGAGAACTATTAAAAACACAGCTTGAACTAAAACAAAAGAGGAAGGAAAGCTGGAAAAAAGCATTCAGTACTGAAGTTCAGTTATATTTATATAGCCCAAGACAATAACTACAACCATACAGAACTAATACATGGAGTAGAATTAGGCTATTATGAGCATGCTGTTTAAGCAACTATAACACAACTACACTTTAAAACGGGAAGAAATACGCATAATAGAAAAAAAAGTAAAACACTGTGTAATTTTACTTTGTTTCCTATGAATACCCTCACGTGGTGAAATTACTGAGAAGCAGACTGGAATAAATATGTTAGTACAAGTTTGAGTGGAAAATTAAAAATATACGTTTCCATCAAACACACAAAGACTTTCTTTCCATTTTTTTTTTACATTTCTGTGCAGTTGCAATTTTAAGATTACTCATAGGAGCCTTTTTACCCATAACATTTTTAATATAGCAACTTATGGCTAACCTTGTAAAAAGAAAGCTTCACTGCAACCTAAGCAAACACTAAAAGAGATTTCCAATACCATGATTGTATTTCAGCAGCTTTGCCAAAGGACAGGTAAGATGGTTACGTTCAATGGCAGATCGCTTATCTGAATTTCTCTCTCTAGCTGTATAACACCACTCTTTACTTTTCCCTCCTCTTTGGTAACTTCCGTGCTAAGTAAAAAATCATTTGAAAATGGGGATCAGAATATGCTCAAAAATGTATAGATTTAGATATGGCACTACCCTTTGGGATCCAGTTCAAAATACTACAAAACATTCTTTGTAGCATGAACAGAATGAAAAAAGTATGGTAAGAGATGCTACGTCCTCTGATTTATTAGCAACGTTATTCTGCATTTAAATAAAGGTTTTGCAAACTCAGACATTGAACACACAAGTTTGGTATCACTTGAATAACAAGCCGAGCAGAGCCTTCCATTTGTCTGAAAAATCTCTGGAACCAGAAAACACACAAAAAATTAAAAACAAATTTGAGAAACAAAAATCAATGGAGTAACTTCCAGACCACGAAGCACTACACAAGTGCTACTCAGATCTTGACATGAATCCTGGAAAACATTAGCAAGAGTAGCGGCACTATGGGATCTTGGTGAAATCTCTTTGTTGATGGATGCCTACGACTGGTGCTGCCGATAGATATTCCCATAGATTTGAAAGATCATGTCATTGAAGTCTTGCAGGGCACGTCTTCATGTGAAATTAATGAGATGCAATAAACTCGCAAGCAGTCTGCGCCAGAGTTGACTGCACCTGGGCACAGCATTTACAGGTACGCCTGGGATTGCAGCATGTTGAGCCAAGACAGTGCAACCCCAGCTGGCAGCAGGCCCGGTGGGGGGAAAACAGGGGTGGGGTGGCCTGCTAGCCCAAAGCTGCTCCACCCAGGCTCAACTATTGCAGAGGGCCTGGCTAGGGCACAAGGGTGCAACAGCGCGGGGCTAGCCAGCAGTCAGCCACCACACTAGCATCCTCATGCCCCAGCCAGCCCCATCACTAGCCACACACAATTTCACTGCACATTAACTACTCCACAGTAGGATGGGCTTTTGGTTGTAGCCATGTTGGTCTACGGACATAGGCAGGCAAGAACTTTTTTTCCAGCTACTCAGTTGGTCTAATAAAAGATATTACGACCACGGTGTGATAGTACCCGTGTCAGGCAGTATTATCCTACAATAGATTTAATTGCGCTTCAATACGGACAAGTGCAGGGTGCTGCACTTGGGCAGTAGGAACCAGCAGCACACTTACACAATGGGGAACTCCCTACTCGAGAGCACGGAGGCAGAAAGAGATCTTGGAGTCATTATTGACTCCAAGATGGACATGGGCCGACAATGCGAGGTCATGGGTGGCAGGGCTAACCGGACCTTGTCGTGCATCCACAGGTGCATCTCGAGTAGAGCCAAGGAGGTGATCCTCCCCCTCTACGCGACGCTGGTCAGGCCACAGCTGGAGTATTGTGTCCAGTTCTGTGCGCCCCATTTCAAGAGGGATGTGGACAACATGGAGAGGGTCCAGAGGAGGGCCACCCGCATGATCCGGGGACAACAGGGCAGACCCTACAGTGAGAGACTGCGGGACCTGAACCTATTCAGCCTCCACAAGAGAAGGCTGAGGGGGGACCTGGTGACCGTCTATAGACTCACTACCAGGGACCAGAAGGGTTTGGGGGAGACGCTATTTCCCCTAGAGCCCGCTGGCATAACAAGGAGTAATGGGCACAAGTTGATGGAGAGGAGGTATAGATTGGACATCCGCAAAAACTACTTCACAGTTAGGGCGGCTAGGAGCTGGAACCAACTTCCAAGGGAAGTGGTGCTGGCCCCTACCCTGGGGGTCTTTAAGAAGAGGCTGGATGCCTACCTGGCTGGACTCATTTGAGTCCTGTTTCTTGTTTTGGGGTTTTGTTGTTCTCCCGCCCTGGCGGGGGGTCGGGCTAGAAGATCTACTAGGTCCCTTCCGACCCTAAATGTATGAATCTATGAATCTATAATTGATTTACTGTGGCTTAATAGGGCCGCATGTATAGCTTTACTTCGGCGTTAATTAGTCGGCTCTACAGTAAAGTGGCCTCATGTAGATGCACCCACAGTAACTCTTCAGAGCATCTTCTCATAAATCTGTAGGACCTCTCATAGTACACGAGCTGGCAAAGTATTTCTTGAAATCCACATGCTATACCAATCACAGCATGCACACCAGGATTTCTTTGCTATACATGGTGCATTTAATGCCACGTTACATTACCCTCACTTGGTACACACCTTACTTAATTTTCAAGTGAAAGAAATTGAGGATGAACAATCCACAGAGGAGCAGTACTGGCAAGTAGAGATTACGAGTACGTTGCTTACAGGCAACAGGGGTAATTGAAGTCCTTTGAAAAATCAACATGATAGAAATTAAATGGCAAAAAAATAGTCTATGCTTTTTAAGACTGTTCCTTCACGAAGTTATAAAATTCAAAAGGTAGAAAGAGGAGTCCTATGACTGAATGAAAAAGCATGCGCGCTTTGCTCCTCTTCCTCACTCCCTAGCAGTTTATGAGCCAGCATACTTAACTCCGTAGCTGACTGTTTAGAATGGAGGGAGAAAAGAAAGGAAGCAGTATAGTGAATTTAATGCCACTGAAAAGGTATGTTTCCAGGCCAAAAAAGGATTTATGAGCACAATTCAATCAGCAACCACAGTGAAATAGCACAGCCTAAATCCTGGCCTCGGTTTTAGATCTTAGATTCTTTTGCCTTTTAGTTTACTTGTTCTTAATTTCTGTAACAGGAAAAGCCACTCTAGAATAGCCCCTTGGGGGTGGCTCAAAGGCCCAAATTTCCCCAACTCCATGAAATATTATTGATACTCATTTCTTACAAAATATATTGAAAAAAATAAAGCAAGCATAGAAATGGTGCCTCCAAAAGGTAACTGGCACCACACTAAACAGTGATGGCTATGTGTTTGTGGCAGGAGACATAACACGTACCTTAAGCAGACCTTACAGTTCAATAGCCTCACAAGAGAACGTACAAAAACTTCTATAATGAGTAAGAAAGTAATAGCTCTGGACACGTCGCACTTCCAAAAAAATATGAACTGCAACATTAAACTGCTTTAAGAAATGAGAAAGATGGCAAGATTCCCAAAGCTTACAGTGATCATGCATCATTATAAGCAACAAAAAGCAGACTTTGTACAGTCTCCAAGTACGTGAATTTATTTTCAAATGATAAAACACTAAAAAATCCTAAAGACTTAAATTTTGATGACTGAGAGGCACAGTTATTACTGCAGATTAATGGCTATTCCTTAATATCTGATGTAATAAAACGTGGGTGCACTTAACATGCACAACTTTTCCAGTTTATTATATCAACTTGTAGCTATCAAACCACAGTCACTTTTACAAGTACCCAGAACCCTAAAGAGCACTCCCAGCAAGAATCAGAGGAGAAAGCGTTTGCTGAGCCAAAAGTTACTAGTGATTATTAATTGCAGCGGCAGCGTGTAAGGTACTACTTTTGCAAAGATTAGTCTATAATAAAGCTAAAGCTTTACTTAAAAATTAAACAGACTATTTTATTAGTAAACAGCGAAAGGGGTTAGATTTCTAATACCCAACAGTGAGCAACAATTCTTAATATGACATTTTTGCAATACTTTGAAACAAAACACATGCTTGGACCAGTCTCGCATATCAATAGTCAATTATTCTAGAAACAGTTATTTTGCCCAGACATCAAGTATTTATTATTCTGACTCTGCATGTGTTGATAAATCTAAGAAAACAGGAGGAAGCAACAGATCAAAAGAAAAGAGTATCTCAAAAATAATGCTTTTCTCCAAAGCAACATTATGGTAGAGTAACATAAAAAGGAAAAAAAAAAAAAAAAATCAAAACCCTCAAAAAATTCTCCATCAGATACCATTTTACGAACAGTCAAATTTTGCACTGACAATCAAATATGTACAATAAACTTTCTAATGTTCATTTTGAATTCTGTGCATTTCTATGCAACCTCATTACCTACACAGTGAATATTTTTCTAAATAGAAGTAAAGAAATTACACAAAAAACTTAAAAGCTACATCTGTTCTACAAATAAGTATTTCATAGTTTACATACCTCTCCTGCTCTCCTCAAACTTTGTATTTAAACAACAATTTAAATACTTAAAAAAACAAACTCTAAAAGAAACTTAAATCTACTAAACCTCTTTTTAACCTACAGTATATAATGTAACTTGAGTTCACCTGAACTCCCCTGGAAAATAGATATATCAGCTTGCACAGAATACAATAAAGATTACTTTGCTTCAGATACACATGTATTTGCAAATGTCTTGCAATTTCACCTATTACTAATGTCAGTATACAATATGTCTTCCATTTGAAGATTATTAATATTCTGCTAAAATAATGGAAAAAAAATAAAGGGAGAAATGTAATAAAATGCTGAACCCTTCCTCCTCTGTTTTATTCAGAGTATTCATACGTTATAGTTTCATAGTTATGGACTGAGGGAATCCTCCAAATAGAATAATTCTTTACTTTAGTGACATCACTGCATCAACATATTTTCTTCCAAAGTAAACAAAAATAAAGTAATATAATGTCAATTAATTTTTTTTTTTAACTCAGTAATGGCTTACCTTGGGAGATTTGCTCATCTTGTCTGAGCAAATAATTACAAATGCTAAAACTTTATTGCTTAGTCACAATGCAAAACTTAAAAGAAAATAAAAAAGTCATAAAACTGAAGCAAAACTTTTTGTTTTCAGCAAGCTATATGTATTAAGTGTTTTTCCCTTCTTAGAAAGGAAAACTTCACTTATTCTACAAACCAATATGTTAAAGCAATGAAATAGACCTGGATTTTCCTGAAACTTAGAAATCATTTTCCTTTCATAATTATTTCTTATTGCAAATGGTAGCAAGGGCAGAAAATCAGCATACTGAATACCAAGCAGTAAGGTTAAAAATGCCTTGTTGTTGACTCAAACAGGCACACAGAGAATATTTTACAATGTAACTTAATTCCAGTGTTAATTGCAATGAAAGCTATTTTGTGCCAGAATTAGTAGAATGATTTTTACAGTGAGGGTCAAAATAGGTTGAGGTGAAGATGTTTTGAACAAACAGCAAAAGATTTTTTTGTTTTGCTTTGAAAGAAACGGCTAATAAAAAGGTCTCCAAACTTACTGATTTTTTGTTTTCCTTTTTTTCTTTTACGGTAGCTTTATTCAGTAGGGAGTGGCAAGTTGCCTACAGAACAGAGATGAGCACAAACAAGTCACAGTACCAACTACATACAGCAACAAAAAAAAACAACAACAATGTTGACTTGTACATAAATTACACGATAAAATGTAACAAACATAACCAACAGAAAATGAAATATATAAACTAAAAGTTTGATGATGGGGTTTTTATACCACAGACTTATTTTACTACATCTTATTCACAAAGCACTAAATACAAAGCAAGCAAATGTTGGGTTTCAATCATTTCTACTATTTCTGGCTAGATTAAAATCAAACCACTGTAATTTGCTCATGATATGCAACATCAGGCATAAATTAGCACAGTCAGCTTTCAAAACACATTTCACCATTCCTGGACAAAAATAATCTTTTGAATATTAGTATATTTCAACGGTTTAATTTTTGAAAGTTCTGCATAATTTTATTAAAATAAATTTAGTGGTTGAAATCTCCCCGTGTTTCTCTGTGTGTCCTTCAATTTTGTTCAATGTATGATTCATATTTATAATGCTTTTCCTCTTAATTAAAAATATAATCACCATCCAGTGATGTGTCAAACATTCGCATTATATGGCAGAAAAGATGTTTTTGGATTTCAAATTCAAGCACTTTGACTTGACTACACCTGTTTTGGAATTCACACAGGGCAAAGGGCCAGGCCAAACCTATTCAACACTGAAGCCGTGACATCACAACAGGATGAGGTGGGAATTAAAAGGTCTATTGGACTTGTGTACTTTTCCTTCTGCATTGAGATGAATTCTGCTGATGAAGGTCTATACCATCTCCTCCACACTAGCTGTAAAAAAAGGATCTTGAATACAGCAAGAGTAACTACAAAGAAAAAGTTACAGTGAGGCAATACTGAGAAAACACCTTGTGTTACACTAGCCATTGGAATTTTGTTATAAGGAAGCTCAAAATACGCTAAAACACTCAAGAGTGAAATGCCAGCCATAAGCCAGATAAATACTAAAGTCTGCATTATGTCCATACAACAGAGAAAAACATCTCCAACTCCTCTTCATACTTTATATGCTCTGGAGCACTTTTAAAGTTGAGTCAAAAAGTCATCTACTAACAGTGCTAAATTTGTTACAAGAGATGATTCACTACTTCAAAAAATTAACAGCTTAAATTTTTATTTTATACACTGATAAGAAAAAGAAATGATAATGCCAGCCTCAGGAGTAGATATGGACATAAAATGTGAGAAAGCTAACAAATTTCTATGGACAATCAAATTTCTATTTTAACTTGCTCATAAAAATCCTGGGTGTTGTACAGGTACACACTATATAGCTTTATTTTTATAAGAATGTTGTTAAAGAAATGACAGCTCATTTATTTCAAGCTGAGTCGGGTCTTGGGGAAGCGCTTCAAAAAGTTCTCTAGCATTTGAATATAAGGAATAAACGATAACTTTATTTCCGATAAGCAAACCATTTGATACGAGGAGGAGAAAGTGGCAGGTATTAGAAAGCTAAAGGTTATTTACAAGTAAGCTGTACATACTCAACCTGTTCAACCGCACAAGTTCGAGCACACCATTGCTCAAGTGTTAGAGGAACAGTGAACTTTTATTTATTTGGATTTTGTTTCCCCTCATTTGCATTTATTTGTGAAAACCTAGTGAAAGCCTTTATTCCAAAAGCAAACAGCCTTTGTAGCATAAATGACTTTAAAAGGTGAGAGGTAAAAATGGTAACAATGGATAAAGATAAAAACAGCCCCTCACACAACATGCATTTAGAACAAGGGTGGGCGAAACGGCAGATCTGGCCACCGGCTAGACTATTTCCCAGCAGCCCTTGCCCATGCAGGACACCCCGTGGAGACCCCAGGACCGTGGAGGCACGATAGCGCGGGATCGCAGAACTGGGGCTCTGCCTCGGCTCGGCCTGGCCCCACGCTGTCGCACCCCACACTTCCTGGGTTTGCATGGAGACTGGCCAGGAGCCACACAGCTCCAGGGCTGGGATCCTGTAGTGGCGACGGCACAGGGAAGGGCCAGGGGCAGAGCCGTGAGCCACTCCCTGCATGCCCCTGCCAGCCGAACCCTTGCCCAGGGCAGGGACGTGGGGTTAGCAGATGGCAGCTCTGCCGTGGCCCCACCCCATGCCATCAATCCCGCCTGCCCATCTTGCTCCCTGCTGCAGCCCCATCTCAGCCACCTGGCTGCACACCCTGCCTGTGCAGGTCCTACCCCTAGCGGTGGGTACAGGAAGCATGGGCTGGGGTGCCCAGGCAGCAGGGCTGAGTCCAGCGGCAGAAGCCAGGAGCTGCCACTGCAGGGTCTGCTAGAAAAAGGAGTGTGCCAAGGACTGGACTTTTCCCACCCCAATCAAGAATGAACTAGATGATGCTAAAAGCAAACCCATCCTGCCTGTCCCAAGCGGTGTAGGATGCAACTTTTTATAATCACTATCAGAGAAAGTGAAGAATTGGACTACTTCAAATCATCGGCATAACATGATTTCACACAAGTATAAAAACCATCCTTGCCCACAAGGTTTTGTATGACAAACTCCCTTCCGGAATTAAAAATAGTCTGATCCTTTTAACAGCCACAAAAGACACTCTACTGTTTTTAGAAGACTAACATTTTGGAAGCCAAGGAAACTGTATTTATAAAAAGAAATATTCGATGAATAGAAAATAGCAATGCCATAGGTCTGGACTGTCCCACACAAGTAAATAATTATTACTCAAAATTAGCTTAAAAAATGCTCTAGAAGTCCAGAATACTTTCTATGGAAAAATAACTTATGCTACTTCCAGGCACAGAAACCTGGAAAACTCTTCTTTCAGAATGTGCTTGATGAGAGGGCACGATAGGAATCGTGTTTGTCATACACGAGAGGAAGAAAGGAATAAAGCCTGAATGCCACACTCGTGCCACTCATCCAAACTTAAATCTAATGATGAGATACCAGGTTGGAATCTAAAATACAAAAATGCTCCAATCCTCCAAAGATTCCACTGAAGTCGGAACAAATTTTGCCCTCTACTAGTAAGCCTTGTGACTTTTTCTATTTCAATCAGCCTCACTATTAAGCAACCTGAAGCACAATATTAGCTTAGTTTACTTGCAGACGAGTAGCAGTATTTCTTCAAAATTAACCTAACTAATCTGCTCTTCCTTGAAGAGGAAAACAAGTACATCTTATATCAAGAACAACTCAAGGATTACTCCCCATTAGTATACGTGAAAAAAATCTTACCTGTTCTGTAGCACAGAGACAACTATTCATATACTTGCTCAATAAATGAACATGCTTTTTAGTAGCTATCTGATTCACATATATATGCAGCTACTTAAATGCAGCTTATAAAGTCTGATGGGCAATTGTACTACTACTTACACCTAACAATCCACTAGTCAAACAGATCTTGTATCAAGACAATCATGCTGGGGTAAAAAGAAGTGTTTGCCGTGTCTATTAAACGTAAAACATTATGGCCTCTATCGTCCTCCATACCCTACAGGTTTCCCACCTGTGCTGCCTCTGAACTCTCAAAGGCCCCACATTAAAAACTGGTGGCAAGAACAGCTGTGCTCGCTCTTCCCACTAGAGTGAGTCCATGCAGTGTCTTCAGTTTCCTAGCAGGGGCACTACAGCAATGCAAAATGATTCCTGCCCTATTAGATCTGGGAGCTCAAGAGCAAATTCTGGCTCCTTGCATAGCAAAAAGCTGAGTCACAACCTGACTGCCAGGCCAGCCCCTTGAAACCCATTCACTTGGCTGAGATCACATATGCCGGGGTTCAGCTTTGAGAAATAACTACATAGCTGTGCCATAAACCTCTGCAAAAAACTGAAAAAAAATCAAAGCCCCCCTGTGACACCAGAACTCCTGGCCCAGGCTCTGGTACAATACTTTTAAACCTGAAAAATCTGATCCTCGTATTCATTTCAACAAGAACAGAAGTCAGGCTGTGAAGATCTATCCCTCAACTGCAGTCATACCTGGTACAAACAGTGGCACACACTGCGAAGCTGTGGTGGAAACTCTGAGGAGGAATTAATGATTGCATGAAAGAATTTGTCAGTCATTTGCAGCAGACTCCGCTGGTTGTCATCAAGGCTTTCCGTTGGCTCCAACCTGCAAACGACCCACAAATATAACAAGCTTTAAAAATGTTAACCTTCCAAAGCATACAGGTTGCTTCCACCTATATTCAAGCACAGCCACACTGGCAAGCCTGCTGAAATGGAAATGACCTATTTTGCCAATGTTTCCATGAGTAGTTTTATATCATAAAAGTTATAAAGTGTTGAAAAAATATGCTCTATGGCTATGAGGTCACATTACAACTTAATACAAAGAAGCCTTAATTAATGGGTTTCTTGTACATCATGCCCTTTAGAGTCACTTTGGGGTATTATGACCTCATACAAAAAAGGCAGTCCCACGATCATATAACTATGCCTTCCTGAAGGAGTTCTCAGCCGTGTCAAAAGGTACACACATAAGCTTGGCCAGGGTTTCCCTGAAAATCTAAGCAGTTTTTCAGGTAGCTGCAGATGGCTGCTTCATGGGTGTAGGAAGGCTCTTTATAAATAGCTGCTCATTTATCACCTCTCAAAGTAAAAAAAAAAAAAGACGTGGGCATAAGTGATGAAGAGGAAGCCTATCTTTTGAGATGCAATTAGCTAGTGTAAAATAGCAATATGAGGGATGTTATAGAACAGACACAGAAGTCAGAGGAGGAGGAAACCAGATATAAAATTTAAATATTTTGGATAAATACTGTGAAGATATAGCAAAAATCAAGATAAAGCATACCCATGTAAAAGGCAAAAAAGCGCACATGCTCCATCTTGCTGACAGGAATGGCTCTGTAGCCTAGAGGAGGTATTTTAGAGTTCTGCAGGAGAGTGCCAAATTTAGGGCCAGAAACCTCCCAGTTCTTACTGAAATATGCAGTGGCAGGAGAGAAAAACAAAGGAGCAGGGATTTTCTATCATCCTTGCTCTCCTCTAGCTTGTGTGTCTATGTGCAGAAGAATTCAGGCCACAGAGGTTCCTACACAGAAGAGCTCTGTCCAGTTCTCCATGACT